GATGATCACAAGAAACCCTTTCACTGAACTCCCCAACTCCTCCTTTTGACCTAATAAGTCGATAACAGCGCCTCTGAGATCGGACTAAACTCTAAAGAATTCAGCAATAACATTAAGAAATCCCATAATTCATGTTCTTTTCTGGTACCCAGAGCTATTCGGATGTTTACCGCCTTAGCTGTCTTTGGCCAGAGCTGTCTCAGTTCTGTCCTCCTCTCCTATTTTCTAGCTCAGTGAAGTGCTTGAGACTAAGAGGGGGGGGGGTTTGAGCTGGAGCAGAAAGAGGAAGAAGGCGACAAAGTGTTTGGAAGAACACAGACTTTCTTCTCTCCTCGCCCACCTTTGGCTTCTTTAGGAGAAGAATGCACAGCTGGACATATGGGTAGGTACATTAAAGATGCTTCATCCTATTTAGGGGAAGAACATCTGTTTAAAAACTTCACTTCCACATGCACAATGACTTCCCAGATGGGTTGGTAGATAACATTTTAATACTCGCTTTAGATCAGACACCGGATCAGCAGAGAAGCAATAGCCTTAAAATTGTACCCGCTGACAAACGTCAGTGTCTCTGATAGGAGAATCAGATTTAGGTCTAATAATCTGGCATCGCTGACATCTGGTGTGTTTGTTTTGCTTCGGCGAGAAGTGTCAAGTCAGTTTTTTTGATTTTCTCGCCGAGAAGAGGTGATCTGCCTTTTTGCTTTAGTGTCGATGGCTGTTGAACTGATTCTTTGATGGTGATTCAGCCTCATTCTGTAGAGGCTCGAATCTGTTTTCCAGTTTTATTGACTACAGTCCAGCTGCTCTGTTTTGCACTGGTGTGGAGGAGTGAGAGTGGCTGTCGCTCTGCAGCATTCTGTCTCTGTTGTCCTTGTGCGTTTTTTTTCGAGAGATATCGATGGCGGAAAGCGTTTTGTTTTTTTTTTTTTTTTTTTTCGAGAGATATCGATGGCGGAAAGCGTTTTGTTTCTATTTTTTGCTGCTCAGACCGAAGATTCTGTTTTTCTTGCTGCACAGGACTTGAACATGAAGCAGCCTTTGGTGTTGCTTCTAAGGGAAGCCGGCAGCTCATGTCTGGGTCAGTGCATGTCCAGGAAGTTCTGATTAGAGTGCAGCCACCGAGCCTGAACATCTTTATACTATACGTTAAATCTTGCTTTTTCTTTCTTGAAGCTGTCTGAGTTACAATGCAAATAACACCACCTGCACATGGATTCATTATTTGATCACTTGCATAATCCAAGAGGTTTTTTATGTGAAAAAAATACTAATCAGTTATGTTATGTGGGCACTGGGAGTTTAGAAAATACAGCTTCTTGTCATCTGAGCACACTTCCAGAATTTAAGAATGATTTGACATGAATTAAAAATGTTTTCCTCGAGCAGAACGTTCTACGACTTGCCGAGAGGACGTGACACGAGGAGGTTCCCCCGGAAAGAGACTTTGATTCGATCCCCAGGCGGCTGCTGGAGTGTGAGAAATTCTCTTTTTATACCACATTAGGTTTGATTTTATTGTTTGTTTTATTTGGTTTCAGAAACATGTAGAAACTACAAATTCATTCCAAGTAAGGCTTTTCCTCCCCGGGGATGGACTATCTACACTTGATGGACAGAAAAAAAAAAGAAGCCTGAACCACTTGGGAGTTTTGCTCAGAAAGGAAAAGAAAAATCTGAATATGTGGAGATTGGGGAACTGCCACTCATGATCAGATTTGTTTGTACGAGCGGTTCTCGCATGTGACCCAGCGATTTCTTATCCGCATGTAACCCACATGAGAGGGAGCTCCTGCTTTCAAGTTCCACTATAGTCTTTCACCACAATCTGGGTCAGCTTCACACAATGAGAGAGGACGCTCTGTAGGAAATGTTACATAAAGTGAAAATCCTGAAGAACATGTCGATTCCAGGGATTTTCCTTTTCTTTGGAGTAAAACACGTTCACAGATATATACGTCTGAATGATCTCAAATAACCCCGGTGCTGCTAAAATAACCCAACAACAGCAGAGTAAAAACTGGACTGTGGTCATTATCTCATCTGGAAATGTTATTGTCTTTACAAAAAAGGGGGAAGCACAAAGCAGAAGCTGGAGAGAAGATTTCTTTCCAGCAACGGAATTTTATATTCAGAAAAAAGTTTCAGTTTATAATTATTTCTTGTCCCTTCACTCGTGCCCGTGTGGAAAAAAAAAACAACTGACAAGTCCCTCTGTACACGGTTTATTTTCTGGGCTTGAGTGTATTTTCCAAACAGTTTAATGTTTCCTGTTTCAGAGAACAAGGTAACAGGGGGGTTTAGCAGCGGAGGCTTTTAGATAGAAGTGACAAATGACACAAGGTTACAGCTTGAGTGGATTTCACAGCTGCTTCCGAGCCATTTTTTTTTTTTTTTCCAACTCAGAACACATCGGAACACTTACCTCATAAAAAAACCCACATTGTGCCGTTTGACAAACATCTAATGTCTTTAAAAAAAAAATGAAGGAAATCAGTTGGAATATCGATTTGGGATTTGAAGGGCAAACGGAGTTAACCCAGTCCGGTTGCAAGTATCTCGAGTGTTTTATGTTACGCGATAAAATTCCAGGTTCTCATACGCTCGGCGGAGGGGTCACAGCATCTCCTCCTCTATCTTATTCACTTCCCGCCGCTGTGTATTAGCCTATTACCTGTTCCATCACACTGAGGCCATAGATTCCCCAGAAACCCTTGCAAATGATACGGGAGGCATTATTCATGCCATCATCCAGCAGTAAAACATCTTATAGTGCAAAACCCACAACAGCCAGTATTACTTTGTTAGTTTTTTTTTCTCCATATCTCTGATGCTTCTTTTATGATTCCTCTGTTTTGGATTTATACACAAAAGATTTAATTTCTTGCTGCAGTCAGATCACTGTGAATCCAATGCAAAAAGAAAAACAGCATTTAATACAGCATTAATGTCTGGCAGTGCAGAGGGCCCACCTGTAAATGATGCAGGCGCTGTTTCGACAAGTGTCACAATTTGCTGTGTCTTGTCCTGTTCGGTAGGTGAGCCTGTAAAAAAAATAATAAATAAATAAAAAAAGAGAGAAGGGAAGATACATGTGATCTCACCTGCATGTTTTAACACCTGTGGGTATTAGCTATCAGACAGATTTGTTCAGCTTTGTTTCCACCCAGCGTCGTTCATTGCTAACAGTTGAAAATGCAGCAGGGGTTCAGATCCTGCAGTTCCCCCAGATTTGGTTAATCAAGTGTGTAGACTTGCTGATTTTACATAATAGGATTACCTTGTTTTGCCATAGTTTGAAGTTTCTTCTGTCTCTATTCTATAGGCAGTAGGAAATAAGCACCAACTAAATGCTGCATGACTCCCGTGTAATGAAAAATCTATATCTTTACATTCTGCTCTATACTGTACATCTTTTTTATTACTCATCCAGCTCACTTTGATACGGACCGATTTTTCAACAAGACTGTATCTGCTCTTTTTATGGCTAAGGTACATTGCCTCAGGGGTCTGTTGTTGGTATAAGTGTCATATTTTTATGCTGAAAGCTCTCTTTCAGCCAGGTGGCACATAAGGCTTATATGTGCACATGTTTAAGAGTGCACTGAACATGAGGGGCTTTTGTTGGTCTGACAGTCTCTGCCTTTCACATTGCCATTATTCATATTTCCTCGTTTTAGTTTACATAAGCACGCAGGTGTGCATACTGTTATTTGTGCAATTTGTCACTGCATGCGGCGCTAGACTGCAGTGGTATGGGGATGATGGGAGAGGCAGTGTTCGAGCCACACATGTAATTGCTTGCTGTCACGGTAGCCCTTCACCCTGATGGATGACATGTGGAGGGGTTGGACCTCAACTGTACACTGTGACATGAGAGGTGACCTCATTGGGGGAGACAGAACAACGTCTGTGTGGATCGAAAATGCTGATGGGGGCTCAAGGTCAACAAGTTCATCCATCCTGCCCTGTTCTCAAATAAGTCTCTGAACAGCTGTGAGCAAGGACAGTAACTCACTGCACAGACAAGGTCTGCTCTGGTGCTGCGCTGCTGGCTGGCTTTTCATGTACATCCTTGTAATTTAAAGAGCTTCGCTCTAATAATCAAAGTGTATTAACCTAAATTTATAATCACTGCATGTTCGCAGCACAGCGCTTCGTTTTCCTATTCAGGCTAAAATGCTCATGCCCTGTTATAGTGACACTACACTGAGTGCAGAATGTCACAGAACAATTTCATGGATTTTCATGGGAAAAAACTGCACCTCTGAAAGTCATTCTCTAAGCTGACTGTTTGTTGGCACAGATTCACTGCTGTGTTGTTTGCCCACGTCAGCTGTCCTGGGATATGTCCTGCCCTCATCATTCCAGTTACGCTGTACACACCCCCTGTCTACGTGCCTGCTGCTCTGCCTGCCTGAGCACTGCATATCGTGTGAACAAAATCTACATTAAGGTCAGGGCACACTGTCTCAGGTGGCTCCTATGTTTCATAGATGGTGTAATGTACTGTATTTGTCCTATGCTTTGCACATGTCTTGTATGAAGGATAAACACAGCAAGCAATGCAAGCGTTTTGTAAATAACATTCAGTGCCTAAAGCTAAATAACCTCAGCTGATATGTATCACATGCAGAACAAAGTGACGCAATGGATTGTTATTGTTATTATGAAATATGGCATCATGCAAAACACTGGTTTATATAATGCACAAAATCCTGCCGTCACTGAGTAAATAAACATTACAAAAGACAACAGCTGTGATGTTTTAATTTAGTACATCAAGTGTCACTGACACACGTTTTCTGAGGTTTGGAAAACCTTAAGAGAAGTGAAACATATGATGAGCAAATGTATTGTTATTACTTCCTCTTTGGAGGCTGTCATTGAGAAATAGCATCAAAAGGAAACATCATTGTTTTCCTTTAAGTTCCTGTCTGCAATTGACTCATGGAGCATGTGAGGGACATCAAGTAAAATCCCCCCAAAAGTCCGTGTTGTTTTTCCCCAATGTAAACCACTCAGTAGCCGAGGGGTTAGTGTGCATACCATAGCGGTCGAAATGTCATCAGTAGCTCGATACCTAGACAACAATGAAGCGGTTATACCTCTTGTGGGTAAAATATCTCCCTACAAACAGTGTGCTGCCTGGACCTGTGCTGGATGAGTGGACTGCTTTTGTCAGTGCGTGCTTAATAAAAGCACAAATGGCACATACGGCCAAAAACGAGCGAATATCATGTATTTATGGCTGGTTGGAAAATGGATTTTTTTGGTGCAAGTATAGCATTAAAGGAAGCCTATCTGACTGCCCAGCCATGCAAGAACAGGCGATGAGTATTTGGGAACGTGCTATGGAATGGAAAGCGGGCTTTGTGTCGTGTAACTGCATTTCTCTAATAACACTGGAACACAATGCTGGAGCACAACACAGTGGAGGGACTACAGCAGGCACAGTTTTGTGGAGATGAAAGGCAAAGTGTTATGAGGCTGCACTAATTGGGCCTTTAAAACCAAGTTCCACAGAGCCACACTAGGGTGCCTTGTTCTCCACTGGATATGGATAAGACTTAAATACAATTTACTTTGTGTTGCTATGGGTTTTAGAGATGGAGAACATTGATTCAATTGCGTTGCTGTGAGAGTCTGACTGTGGACATGGCCAGAGGACTTTATGAAGTTTGCTAATGTATTTTTTTCCCTTTAATTACTGGAGGTACACTTGGTCTCGCATTAGAATTACAGTGGAAAGACAGCATTAACGTGTATTATCCTGTGTATTTTAAATGTCCCACTAGACCTGATTGGTTTTAATATAACACTACTAGTAGTTTTTCTGATGACCCACCAGTAGTCAAGGTTTTCACTTATCCAAGGAAATAGCTCAACATGTTCTTGCTGGACTGACTGAAAAGGTTGGACAAATTATCTTTTTTATTTTAGGAGTTGTTATATTCAGAGGTTGACTTTGGCGATTCTCTTCCTCCAGAGTCACCATGAGATTTGGCTTTATTAAAATATCTCAACAACTATTGGATATATGGGTGTAAAATTTGGTACAGATGTTCTTGATTCTCAGAGGATGACCAGTAAAAACCAGGAACCTATACTGACATGAGGCCTGACTGTATAGAGGGCTGTCTAAGTGAGTGGTGTGGTGTTGTACAGCTGTTGTTATATCCATTAGTATGTTGGGAAAAGTCCATAGGAGGACTGGTTTTCACAATAACCTGTGACCTGAGCTTCAATCTATTGTCAACATCTCAACCTTTCTGTCCAATTAGTTCATGCTCAAATACTTGAAAATGAATGACATTCCCATCAGCCTCAATTGCAGTGTTTGTTTAGTGCTACATGCAAGCTTGCTAACATGCTAAGCTAAGGTTGTGAACACGGTAAACATACCAGCTAAACATCAGCATGCCTGTGTTTTCATTGTGAGCCGACACTCTCACAGAGTCCCCAGCCCGGATGTTGATTCTCAGCCTTGTCAAAGGATATTATCCGTCTCGCAGAGCTTATTTTTGTATTTTAGGCCATTTTTGCAATTGTTCATAATAACACCATAGTTACTCAAGGTAATTGCTGAAATCAGCTACAAAAGGTAATTGCTAAAATCATATCTGATGAGGTGCGAAACACTAGCAGTCAAACAATCATACAGGTTACAGACGAATTTATTTTCAAGGAAAGCAAAGTCTAAATGGTAAAAATATACACAACTTTTCTCTGAGATGAGGGATTCGTGCCAATATTTCTGGCTCTCTTGCTTTGGGATTTACCTGTCTGCTCGTTTTTTAGTCTGTCAAACTCCAAACTCTTGTTGCAGTATTGCTGTGTTCCCAGATATTAGCATTGATGATGGTGACATTGGTTGTTATCCAGTTTAAATTATGATCAAAGCCATGCAAAAAGGCCTCGGGTTGTTAAAACCACACAGCTACCCTTTATCATGACTTTGCCCTGCTTAGCATGAAATGTGCATACAGAGGGAGCGTGCAGTGTATGTTTGCACAGTAAAGCTTCCTCTACTCACCCCTCTCGCTGTGCTTCACCTTTCTCCAGCTCCTGAATAACTCCAAGAAGGACCTTGATGGTTTCCTGGCTTGAGCTGATGAGACTCTCCATGGCCTGCAGCTGTGCTTTGATATCCTTGTCTCCAGATAAGGGCATTATCTGCTGGCTGCTCCCCATGCCCGGGGCTCCTGTGCCTCCTGGAGGAAAGCCCTCGTCCCCCCCAACTGTTCGCTGGAGTTTAGAGGAGGCTGACACATGCCTCGTCCGACACTGCCCTTGTGACTGTACAGAACATTGGGCACTGTGTGGAAGCGTCTGTGACTGCTGTTCGCTTAGCTGTGTACCTTTTTTCCGTTTACAGCTCACAGTGGGGCTTCCCAAAGACTCCACCTGTGTCAAAGAGTTCCACGCAACAGGGCCCGTACCCTTTGGCTTGTCCTGTGAAAACTCTGATTCAGCCAACTGGCGCTTTGAAGAAGTGCCAGCATCCATGTCTTCTTTGGGTAATCCTTTGTGTTTGGTCCGCATCCCACAAACCTGGTACTCTGGTTCACTTTTAGAAGGAGGGCTGCTGGGGTGAAACTCCTCCGAGAAGTGTGAAGAGTCTGGACATGAGGGTCCGTCCAAACAGTTGGCACTGGAAAGCAAATCCTCTGTATCGCTGCTGTCATCAGTGTGGTGAAGCAGTGCTTTTGTCTGCCCCACAATCTTACCCTTGTACTGAGAGGACTCCCCGATAGGTTGTCCGTCCTCTCCCCCGGCCTTTATATCACTCAGAAACCCATTGTTTTGTCCTCTGTAATCTTCCACTAACGCAGTATGTTTAAATGTGTGTCCCTTTTTCCTCTCGAAAGGGAAAGTCTTGTATCGCTTGGTGAGGTCCGGCGAGGTCTGGACACCTGTGCTCTTGGTCACGTTGGGAATAGAGCGTCTGGCAGGCATGGTCATGTACTTTCTGTGTGTTACTTTGCAGGAAATGGACCTTGAGCGTCTTCCCCGATACTCATTCTGAGCTTCGCAGATATCCTTAAAACGCACTTGTAAGGCCTTATTTCTTTTCTTCACCTGCTGCTTCCCAGACTCTGTTCCAGAAGTGGTGTCGAGGCTGTGTGATGGGCCTGTCTCGGAATCTGATTCATCTGAATTTGACAGAACAATACATTTGGTGTCTTCTTTGCTCACCATATTTCCTGAAAAAGGTACAAAGAAGAATCCGTGTGTTACTTTAAGAGGAAGGAAATCATTTTGTGATCATTCCAGTCAGACACATTTGCAGATGGTGTGATTCATTTCTTCCTGTAACTTCTTATCCTGCTAAGACAATTAAAACGATCCAAAATCTGAATCCAAGATTCAAAAAGGAAATCACAGTTTTATCAACACGTGGCGAAACCACAAAAATTAAAGAATCAGAAGCTAATATAATATGATAAAAATAATCATATTTCATCTACAATATAAACACAATATCGTGAACACAAAAACTCCAATGTATCTAGTTGCACAAGTTATTGATAAGGATTCTGTATTTCATCTTTTTTCCTCAATCTTACATAACAGAAATCAATCCATCCATCCATCCATCCATTATCTATACACCTCTTAATCCTCACTAGGGTCGTGGAGGGCTGGAGTCTATCCCAGCTGACTTAGGGCGAAGACAGGAGACACCCTGGACAGGTCACCAGTCTATCACAGGGCTACATTTAGAGACAGACAACCAAGCACACTCACATTCACACCTACGGACAATTTAGAATCACCAATTAACCTCAACATGTTTTTAGACTGTGTGGAGGAAGCCGGAGAACCCGGAGAGAACCCACGCTGCACGGGGAGAACATGCAAACTCCACGCAGAAAGATCCCGGTGCCCCCACTGGGACGTGAACCAGCGACCTTCTTGCTGTGAGGCAACAGTGCTACCAACTGCACCAATAACAGAAATCCCCCAAATGTAATTATCCCATAGGTTTAACCTATAGCAACCAAATTTAATGATTGCAACCCTGTTTGGTAGGACAATATCATGCTCTTTTAGTTAGTTTGACATTTCTTTATGATACTAAAAACCTCACCCTCTGTTGCTATGGAGAAGAAGCCACTCATCCAAAACTGACCCACAATCTGAAACTGAACTCATTTTGGTTACAACTTAAACTTTCACCTGCCACAAGTGGTGCCCGTTACAGAACTGAAACTCTGTGATGGGATGTTTCTCATGGGAACCCTTGCCCTCCTTTTTTTTTTTTTCTTCCTGCTTCTTCTGCTGTACCACTCACCGCTAACTCCACTATTTATGTACAGTAGCATTTCATAAGCAAGCTCCCCTGCCAACTGTTTGATGATTCGCTTCAGGAGACCTTTTTGCGGTAATAATTGTGTTTGTGCTGCACTCCTTGCCGCTCCTGGCATCATTCAAATACCCCGTTTATTGACTCTTCTTTATATCAGTTGTCAGCCTCAAATACACACCTCAAGCTAGAAGTTTGTTTTTTTTTTCCCCCTGTTAACTTGGGGATCGCTGTCGAGATGCCAAGGCGCTGTTTTACCTCATCACGCTAAGTATTCGGTGGTTGTATATAAAGTGTGGGTTGCTGTGTTTAGGAGAAGTTTGTGTGCTTGACAATATCATTAACCTACAAAATTGCCAAGGCTGCTGGCTGTTATTGCTCCTCCATAGATGTACTAGTGAATGATAACTCTGTATGGCTGACCTTTTTCCTTTTGGCTTTTGTTTTACAAATGCATTATGACACATTTGTTTTCGTGATTTATGAAGTGGTGGAATAGAAATGCTTATGTATTAGCATTTGCGGCTTATTTCCCCCCTTTGCTGGTGTAATTTTTGGGGTTTTTCTAATCTGTTCCTGCAGGCTTCGGCCTCTCTTAGCTTCGCTTTAGTGATGTAAACATGACATCCACCTGTGGTTCCTCACTTCTGCTGCATATGAAACCTACATTTCATCCCCCAACACATTACAGAAACATTCCAACTCAAACAAATGGGCTCATGTGACAGCTCGCTCTACTGTTCTTCATATCATAATTACATCTAAACTGCTGTTCTCCGCGCTGCACTGATACACTCAGACGCACTCATTGCTAACCTTACTCTTGTATATCCACGCACCTCCTTATCATGGCTGCATAACATTTCATGAGGAATATCTTTGCTGTGTTTAGATTGCTTGATAGCAATATTCCCCCCCACAATGGTTGGAGGTGTTTTGTTAGGGAATGGCCATAGAGTGGTTCGCCCCTCCAGCTGACGGTGTTTGCTATATAATATATTCCCCTTTGTGGTCTGAGACCACTCGCAGAGCAGCTGTGGCCCACACATGCTCGACTATACATAATAGCTGCTGTTGGTGCTCCTCCGCCTGTATCCACCTGTAGGCTCTGAGTCTAAGCTCCCTGGGCAGAAATTTGTCATCATCACTCCCCTGATCTTGTGCTGTTGCCGAGCGGAGTGACGAGGTCAGAGCCAAGACACCAAATATAAAGTGTACATGCTCCGCCATCGCTTCATAAATCTGTTCCGTGTGAGCTGATTAAGTGAACTGACCTTAAATTTGAGATGTTTACAGATTACTGTTTGTTATAACTTCTTATTAAGAGCTACTTGAGAAACGTGGTTTTGGAAGATGTTTGCAAATCAACCACGAGTGAAAAGGAAAACTCACAGATGACTTGAAATCACTTCAGCAAATCTGTAAATGAGGAACAACTTCTACTTAAGAATAACTTTGTTAAAGTCACAAAAAGTTGGAGTTTTACAACAAACATTTTAACATATTTTTTGAAAGCACATTTGTTTATGATCAGAAAATCATTTGCTGTTTCTCTGATAGTGATGTAACTTAGTGTGTCTATGAATGAGCACTACAATTAGTTTGAATCCATTTATAAACCGCGTCTCCTCCGTCTCACAAATGATGCTTCAATCATCAACATAAATTTGTCATATAATTAGCAGCTCATTTTTTATGCTTAATTCATCATTTCCATACATCATTATGATGCAGTCATTCTGCCATTTTGACTTGTTTCCAGCAGCATGGCTTGATTTATATTGATCATCTAATAAATCTTAAAGTGTTTCTGATCAAACTGAGGAGCAAAGAATGACTTTTATAATACTATAATAACTGCAGCTCCTTTATAGTCACTCCCAATGTAGGTTTTCAAATTAAGGTCCATATGATCAAACGAGAAAAAAATTACATTTTCTGTCTCATCTGCGATGAAACACATTTCATAGCTGGTCCATGAAATATATCAAGCAGCACAAGGAAATGAAGTGATGTCTGATATGGTTGAAAGGAAACATCAGAAAGAGCTGCTTAATCATTTTCATATGACAAGACACCACGCGATAAATAAACTCCAATGAATCATTTATTACCACACAAAAGCAAAGCTATTCATGGCGTTGCAGCTTCTCTGAAAGTAATCATGTTTTATCATTCAGAGACATTGTAAATCCATCAATGTGATTGTTCTGGTGGGGAAATTCATACTGAAGGGACGTTTCCCTTACTGTCAGTTTCACTACCCCCGTGAAATTTGTAAAAGGAAAAGCATGAGTGGATTAGATTAATGTTAATTTCTCATTTGCAGTTGATTTACAGCCACAGTGCACGCAGAGTTCCAGTGAGGTAATGAGTAATTATGTAAGAAAATATTTAGAAAAGAATGAATAAGTCAGTCTAATATGAAAAATATGCACATTTTTAAATTAGGGGGGGAAATTGCCTTCTTTCCATGTGCTGCTGCTGCTGCTGCTTTGTTTTTGTGCTTGTATAAATACATTCACATGACCATTTGTGCATGTTTGTATATCTACGTGGGGAAAAGAGACAGTAAGTGTGCGGCTATTAGTGTCTATAGGCCTTGTTGTCACCGTTTCAAAGAGAAGCCTTCGCCAGCATCTGACGCTATATGAGCACACACACACACACACACACACACAGCAGACAGGGGCTGCTAACAAAAAGCATGAGGTTGTATTTCTTGGGACTCCTGCCATGTGTTTCACCTTGCAGACTGTCCACTGTAGCCTAACTCTCAGTTCTGACTGTTGATGAAATGGAATATATTTAGCGGCAACTATGTTTCATCTCGCATCCTGTCAGTGTTGGAAAACAATGCATGGCAACGGCTCCTAGTGTCACTTCAGTGGCTGCGACGCTTTCGGTGCCAGATGATGGGAGAAAAAAAAAAAAAAAAAAAAGGGGCACGAAACAAGCAACTAACTCAATCTCATTATACGCGAACAATATGGTATGCTGTGTCATGAGTTTACACACGGTTGGAATACGAAGCAGATGAATTTTATTAGGGGATGGTATTTGTTCTAAAACATAGCTCAGTACGCACTTTGATTTGAGCGTAAGTTGTTTGTCAGAAGCGGTTCCACGGATAAAAAGAATTAGTTTGAGGCGGATTCACATGGGATCATACTATTTCACACTCAGAAATACCAATCTCACACCACTGAAAAGGTAATCACATCTGCAGGAAGTCTCCTCTAAGTGCATACAATTTCATATGCAGTCATGTAAGGCATGTAAAGCAGCTAAATGGTAATTTGCACAAAGAGAATCAAGAAAAGCTCCTCAATGACTTATTATTGTTGGAAGTCTGATACACAGAGAGAGTGAGAGCGAGACGAAAGGCCGACTGAGAGGGAGACTGTTGTGACACATGGATATATTCAGATAGTTGAAAGAGAATCTCCTTTTTCCTCGTCGTCGTCGTCTTCTTTCTCCTCCTTCTCCAAGCCCTCCTCCTCAAAGCAAGCTATCTCTGCTAATGACCTGAGGTCCTTCCCTGATTTGGCCTCAGCTATCCAAAGGATTATGAATAATGCATTGACTCTAAAATTGCAAAAGTAATCCTCTGAAATCTCCTTATGTACCCAGGCAGACCACGTTGTCTGTTCCAATTGCCCTTCAGTTCTTCAAACTAAAATGCTGCATGCATTAGGGGGGGAAAAAAAAAAAAAAAAAAGAACACCTTTAGCTACAGTATCATGATTGATTGTCATGACCACAACGGTGTAGAAACGTGGCTGTTTATAAAGAATGTTAATGGGGTTTGGATCCATTTTCCGTGCAATAGCAGGTCCGCAACACTGCTGACTCATGATTTATGCCCCATCGCAAAGCAGAGGGAAAGAGACGGCTTTGCTTAGATCGCCTTACATCCTTTTTTTAGCGCGCATCAATGCAATAATTACTGAAGTGCATCTGTAAGATATTTACATATGATAACGCTGTCTAGCCAATCTCATTAATGGTTAAGCACGCGTCATGGCCTCCCACACATCAAGCATCAATACACGCTGAACCTCATCATAAACATGGGACGTCTCTTCAGGGCTGCAGCTCGTTATTTTAAAACATACGTGCTAGAAGGTCCGTGCATTCCAAAGTAAATACTTCATTGTTACACAGGCTGTGCTCATCATCCCCCCCACCATGCATTCTGCTGTATGCATCGTTACTGTGCAATGTATCCTCTCCGAATGACGAATTTTTAGTCACTATTAGCATAAATTACAGAGTGTGACATTGCACCAAATTTGCCCTTATAAGCACAATGTAAAGGACGAGATGTCACTGCACAGTATATGCCTTTGTCCGCTCCGTGAGGTCGTGCATGTGGCCCTATGTGCAGCTACAGCACTGGGCACGTGCGGTGGGGAAAACAGCTTTTAGCCTCTGCACGCTCCACATTGTAGTAATGTTGTTGTCAATCCTGCTCTTGTTCCAGCAACAATGTGGGCCACTTTGGTCCAAGATTTTTTTATATTGTCTTCTGCTCCGTTTTTGAAAGCAATCCCAGGCACTTTTGACAGCTCCACAGTCATGCAGACACACACACATATACACACTATCTTATTCCAGCTGTCGTCCAGAGCTATCTGTATCTATCCCGGCTGCAGGCTACACCTGTGAAAGTTTGCTTTATGACTTTATTGGCTTCAAACATTTATCACTGAGCAGCACTTTCTATTATTGGGGGAATAGCGGGAGGTTTTAAAAAGCTCCCATCTCTGTATCTGCTGGATGAGAGCACTGGCTGTGAAATGGATCCTTGGGAAGAGTAAGTTTGAAGAGGGTGATATGAAGAAGGGCATTTGGGTTTTTTTTTCTTTTTTTGTGTGTGTGTGTGATCACATGCTCTACTGCCAGTGTGGGCCTTTTTTTTTTTTTTGTATGAAATAATAGAGAAGTCAGTCTCCGCCTTTAACACTTCAGAGCTCACATCTGTAGCCCATTACTCTGATTGGATCATTGATTAATAAGGAGTTGGGTTACGGGCGTACACGTGTACTCCCGGTCGAACTGATAATGAACTCAGGTGACGTGTGGAGGACGACTGAACAAGTGAGAAGATACTTAAACGGACAAGCAGCTTGTCTGTGCGGCACCTTAAAGCTGTGCCCCGTTTATGTTTCCTGTAAATTTAGGTAGTCGGGGAATGACGTGGAGAAAATAGAGGGACAGAAAGCGAGAGAGAGAGAGAGGTGGGGGGCGGGAGAGGCAACGGCTGACACCAAATAAAAGTGCAGCTCTGTATGTGATGCAGTACTCCAGAGGCTTCCAGATCACACATGTCATTAGTCATGATAAGTCTGAATCCACCTTCCATCAAATTCAGCCTTGAGGAGCACATCCCTCGTCGCACGCATGAACCGGCCGTGTAGTTCGCGGCACTTGATACAAAAGGTGTTTTCCCCCCGTAAATGATCCTCATTTTGACAGTGCATTGCAGTGCCATATATATAACATTCTATTAGTAAGCGCTCATCAATATTCTTCACTATCAAGCCCAGGCAATTCACAAGTACAGCAATCTCGATAACCAGCCTGTGCTGCTCACTGGATAAATGCTGCATGTCTGTCAAAGGCTGCAAAGACACGCATCATGATAAGTGTATTAATCAAAGTCAAATTACATCACCATTCATCTTCATGTTCAGTTTTGAGGAAAAAAAAAAAAAACACAAAACCTTTGACGTGTTTTCCAGATTAGTCATTAAACCTGCAAATGCTTGGATGCAGAAATGCCCACTCCCTGATTTATCCATATCTAATGCAAGCAGGGGGGAACATACACATGCATGCAAAGACTTTAACAGCAATTTTTTTTTAAAATCATCAATTCACACATGCTTTTGATATCCACTTTGATTCTGTTAAGATTTTTTTTTTAAAAAAAAGCACCCTCCTCCCTCCTCCTCCTCCCTCCACTCTTATTGCAGTATCTGTGAATAATGTGTGCAACTCCAAACTCTTACCTTGACAAACAGATCAGAGGTGCAAAGGACAAGAAAGCACAGATCCCCTGTAGATCCAGCGTTCATCCATGTATTCAGTGGGCGCCAGGGTACCGTCCAGCCACTGGAGCAGCTCTCACAGGCTGCGGGAGTGCTGAGAGAGAGGCAGCCGGTGCAGTGACAGCTGGAGTAGTTGTGGCACATCCGGCAAAGATTCAGGTTATCGGGATGGGAGAGGGGGGGAAAAAAAGCAGACAGACATTGCCTCAAAAACCTCATCGGGTCCTCACTCACATCCAACACCCCCCCCCCCCCCCAACCCAACCCCCTTTCTCCAGCCTCTTACTCCGTTCTCTCTCCCCCCTCTGTTCTCCCTCATACACCTCTTTCAAGCATCACTGACACTCATTCGCTCTTGTCCCTGCACTCACCGGGAACAGGCACTCACACACGCAGCGGAGATCTCCATCTCGCGGTGCTGCTGCTGTTGCTGCAATCCCTGTGCATTCGTGATTGAGTGTATATGTGTGTGTGTGTGTGTGTGTGTGTGTAAGGAAGGCAGGGAGAGGGTGGGCTGGTGGGTGGGTGGATATGGCAAAGGGAAGGAGGAGGAGGAGGACGAGGAAGGAGGAGGAGGACGAGGAGGAGGAGTGAGGGGTAGTACGCAAGCTGCTGGGGAAAGTCCAGAGTTGGTGAGCTGCATCATCAGCGAAGACCCCCTCAACTTGTCCTCCACAGACCGGCTCCCTTGACACCGAGCTGTTATATAATCTGAAGGGCTTCGGGAGACGGCGGAGAGGAAGGGAGCTGTGAAATAATAATGCATTGTGCTTTTAATTGGATGTTTCCTGCCCCCCCCCTCCCCTCCACCACACACACCCTTCCACCACCACCCTGTTAGTTTCATACATCTGACATATTGTTTATGAGAGGTGGTGACGGGGGCTGAATAGTGCAAAGGGAACGAGAAAGTGGCTCTGTAGCTTAACAAAGGGGGGGAACAGAGGAGGCGAGGAGCCAACAGGGCAGCGGTGTTAATGAGAATCCGAGACAAGAGAGAAAATGAAATGACGAGAGGGAGCAATAGAGACAGTGAGACGCAAAAGAGAGAAATGTACTTCAGTGGACAAAGCGAAATATCGATTGTGTAAATTGTGTAAATTTCTCACGTTTCTCTGCATCTTCTAGGAGGTTCACAGATCAACGACGTGCTGTTTGTACAGGAAGTAAACATGGGATTATAATTGTGAATACAGTTAATAAAACACATTTCCTCAAAAGTGGACATCAAAACTGTTAAAGTCATAACATGCAAACTTTAAAAAAAGAAAATACGACATGCTTCTCTAATGATCTTATTGTGATTTCTCGGTTTATTAGAATTTCAGTTATGTAAATTTCCTGTGTGTGTGTGATTTAGCATTTTTCTGTCTTTGTGCCTCCTAGTGGCAGAATTTTAAAAAAAGATGCTTTTGGAATCAGCAATTGTAAGAAGCTGCAGAGCAACTAACCCAATTCCTGCTTTCTGTATTAATGTTTCAACAAAAATCAATGCCAAGAGAATCATTTTTTAAAGATTCTACAATTGTATGAAAACCATTTACATTCTGTTTATTTGTAGTTGATATATTTTTTTAATATCCAAATGTTTAAAACTCAAATGCAGATTGAAAAAAAAAATCCCAATTATATGGAGAGCAGTGCAAATGAATGTTATGCTAAAATTCAAAACTAAAAAGCTGCATGAATATGTAAGTGATCCCAAGGACCTTTAAGAGACCTATGTTTATCTCGGGAGCTGGCAGACTAAATAGATAGATTAATTAATCATACAAAAACAAAACACAACTTGCAAACAAACATAAACTGTGCTCTCAGCACACCCAAGATGCCCTATATTTACCAAGCTTCCAGCATAAATATTTTTGTCAACACAACATTTATTCCTCTATATGCATAAGCTGGATGCCTGTTTACTGAGTGATAGGTTCTTATCTGTCACTGACACCATCACAGAGGCATCTGATCATCCCAAATTCATTGTGCATCCCATGACAACAACCCTGCTATCTTCACTGACTAGAAGAACAAAGAGCCCTGCAACAGATGGTACGGTCCCCACAGAGCCCTGAATTCAAAATACAGAGGCAGTCGGGGATTACACGAGGAGACATTGGGATAGTTCTTAAAGATGCTTGGAGCAATCTACCTGCCAAGTGCCTTTTAAAAAACTCAGCAGAAGTGTAACAGAGAGAATTGGTGGTGTTGTTTGAAAGTAAAAAGATGACAAACACACTGATTTGATGGAGGATTTGTCTGTATACTGTCATTTATATGAATTTAATTGATGAATAACATCTATTCATGGCAGTGTTGTTGAAAGCATCTTAGTTGACAAAACTTGTGTGTGTGTGTGCCAAACCTTCATAGATCTAACAGGTGGCATCAGTACGCTCATTATCTCATAATGGCTTCTGTCATTTTGACGACTTGGTAGAATTATGTTTGAAAGCTTGCTGTGTGGCCCTGGTCAGCAGTGGTACCTGCCCATAGTGATCCGAAAAGGGGCAAACCACAAACCAGCTACATGGTGTTGGATGCCCCAATGGTCTAGGGCAGGGGTGTCCAATCCTGGTCCTCGAGGGCCACAATCCTGCATGTTTTAGGTGTTTCCTTCTTCCAACACACCTGATTCAAATGATCAGGATCGTTATCAGACTTCTGCAGAGCTTCATGATGAGCTGATCATTTGAATCAGGATCATTTGACATGCAGGATTGTGGCCCTCGAGGACCAGGATTGGACACCCCTGGTCTAGGGCAATAAAAGCACTGTTCATGATCAAAAGCACCGACCTTGCAAGTATCTACAGAGCAATACCAAAGGGGTGACTTGGTTAATTAAGTCCTGTTGTCTTTTAATACCACACAGATGGCTGAGAACGTGGCACCAGGCTTTACTATGAGAAGGAGACCAGCCGTTGGAAGGAGTGTGGTACTCAGGGCAATAGTCTATTCTGAAGGACCAGGACTTAAGCTCAGCCCAGGTACACCCCTTCATGACTGTTTCACTCTCTGGCTTTGGCTTCTGTCAACAAGATATTTTGCTTTGCCACTCTGCACACATTGTTTGGGAATAGTTTGAGGAACACAACCAAGAGTTTAAGGTGTTCCCCTTCCCTTTAAAATCTATTTAAAGCCTCTGTTGTCTGTGCTGTCCAGCTCTTGGTGGCTTTAAGATCTGCTGCTAACACCTTATGCCAGATACTAGAGGGTTCCCTGAGAAGTCTTGTCGACTTTATGCCTCGGTGGGTGTGAAGTGTTTTGGCTGCACATGGAGGACCAGCGTTATATTTGGCAGGTGGTCACAATGTTCTGGCTCAAGAGTACTGTATATTTAACTGCTTCCACTATAAACCGTATAAGTTGAAAAGGTAAAGATGTAACTGAAGAGAACTGGCAGTAAATTTAATGAAAAGATACGATACATGGAGTCCATTTGTGGGACCAGAGACTCGACAGAGAGGAAGTGAATTACACTGAAGACCACCATAACAGTGACCTGGCCAACATACAGAAAATACAAGACGTGACCAGACGAGGCTTATTTCTTAGCAGCATCTGAACTTTCTAAATATAATACCTACATATAGCACCTTTGAAACATCTTGTCTGTTTAACTTTAATTCCCTTTTGCTTATACGTCAGGTAAAGGCTGAAGTTTAAACAGAGATGTCAAGATGGCTCCGACACAGGACCACAAATTTTTATCATTCTCAGCTTATGTAAGCAACCTGAAGCTGAAGAGGAGAAAAGCTTTTTCAAATTAGTTTTTCTTCCAAAGGCTGAGGGGAGCCGGTAGCCGGTGCAGTGATCTGCTGACTGCTGTCTTATTGATTTAATTGTCTGTTTTCCTCCCAGCCCTGCCTGTTCATAGACCTATGATGAGCTTCTGACTGCGCCCACTGCGTGCATGCCAATCCAAGCTGCCACGAACCACAGCTCCCCCTTAGTTTAAACACCAGCTTAATCTTACTGTGCTTAATGAGTGGAACAACACAGAGTTGACAAGTGGGATACAAAAAAAAATCCCCCCCACCCTCCAACCACTTTCCTCAATCCCTTCCCTACTACTCCATTTATTGACATGCCAAAGGCTGTGCGGGGAGTGTCCAGATTTATGCAAAAGGTTCTCACTACTCGCTGATGACTGTCAGCTTAACCATTCATTACGGTTGGATCCCTGAGGACAGCTTGAGCCTGTGGGCCACTGTAAATGCATATTTTAAAGTGGTCCACTGAAATGAAGGCTTGGGAAAGTGAAAAACGTGTGAATGGGGGGGAAAAAAAACAGCAGATGTTGCATAAAAGATTGAAGGAGAATGTTGAGGTTCAGACACAAACACAGTTCTATTTCTTCTGGTTGATTTCTTGATCTCTACTGAATTTGACTAAATCTCAAAGGTGAGAGAAGGACTGCACTGTCAATTGTTTCTTTCAGATCCACACAAAATCCCTGGGTGGAAGAGAAATGTTTGTATTAGCATATGAAACAGCCAAAGCAGTAAACATACATTTTTATCTTTTATCTAAATTATTCATGAGGATTTTCCTACTGTATGCAGTAAACACATGGGGATCAGAACAAGTAAGATCACTGGATATAGCCACAAACATGAATAAACAAGGACTTTCTCACATTCTCTCTGCACCTGCTGGAAAAACAAAAAGTTTTGACTGAGTGATATTTGGAGCCTGCGGGAAGCTAAACAGCGCTGAACATGCACGATGCGGCTTTAACGATAAATCTGATGACAAGACATTAGATGGTAATTTTATGCAAGCAGTGTGTCCAAAAGGATCACGTTGCTAGCCAGTGGGTCCACCGCTTTGCATCTCAACTACCACTAAACTGTCGTAAAAGTTCATCCCGTGAGGATGAATCCTGCCCGACTCCTTTGCTTCTCCTCTGGCACCGCAGGCAGTTTGAGCTGTTTTTAGTGAAATATCTCAGTTTGGTGATGTGGTGCAGCTATCGATGGTTCCTGGCGGCTTTGCTGATCTGCTGACCTTTCTTTTTGCAGCATGAACAGGTCAGAGTTTTGCTTTTCTTTTGTGAGAGATCTTTACAGGATGGATTGGTACAAAATCCGGTACAAACCACAT